AATAAGGTACTTTATAACTCATCAACTGCATTGTATATGCAATTTATATTTTAAAAATGTGTATTAAAAAATAAGCATTATAACTTGAAGCAAAACATCAAAGTTTTACTAAAACTTTTTGATGTAAAATAGAAAATGAAACAAAAATGCTCAGTATCAGAAAGAATGTAGTGAAACTGAATTGTACTCACACTGATAATGATAATGTATAAACTGGTACAACATTTTAAGATAAGCGTGGCATTATCATCAATATAGGCTTAAGTATATATACCCTATGACTCAACAATATCACTTTTCAAATTATAGCATTTAAAATTTTGTATATGAGCAAAGACTTTGCATGAAGAATATTTGTCATAATGTCATTTACAGTAAACTACAGAAAGAATTTAGATGTCCAAAAATAAAATCTCGGTTAAATAATTGATGGTTTTCATATAATACATTGCCCTGTATTAAAGGATGTGATAGAACATTATGAGTATACTTAATGCCACTAAACTTTAGATTTAAAATGGCTAAAATTACCAATTTACTTTTAAGCAAAATTTTAACATTTAAAAAAATATATATTTTACCATAATTTTTAAAAATTACCAAAAAGGGGACAAACCATATACACAAGAAAAAAAACAGGATATTTTACAGGGCAGCCAAAAGTCGATTTATAGTTGTAATACAAATAAATAATCTAATAACTAATAAATAATAATATAAGAATGAAATGTTTTACATGCACAACTGTAAACCCACTTTTGCCCACTGCGGTGTAACATTCAAAAACACAGCAACTTGTTTTTTAGACTAATCAGTCTTTTAGAATAAAAACATAAAATATAAAATATAGGAGAAAAATACGTATACTTCCAGTATAGATGGATAGAGACTAAATCACTAGTAGAATTATGAAATGTTTGTTTAACTTTCATATAAAAACAATTTTTGTATAAAATACACGTATGTGTATGCACACAAATTTATAAAAGGAGGTGAGGTGAACAGTCAAAATCAGTAGAGACATTTTACGTGGCAATTACAAAGTCATCTCTTCCTATTGTTTTGAGTTATTAAAATTCATTATTCAATCAGAGGTTTTGTTAAGTTTATTTATTCAACATACACTCCCTGTTCTACTGAGTACAAAGCAAAGTCGTTCATCATTCTATCAATGTTAAATGCTTACACGTTATTGTTCACGCAGAAAGAGAATTCATTATTTCTGATGGTTATGTAAGGCCTTTGTTTCACAGCCAAAGTGTATGGTCATAATTATCCCTATAATTGATTTGCTTATTTGGGTTTAAAGAGCCAAAAATAAATAAATAAATGAGATCAGTTCAGAGCACTACTTAGAATTCGAGTGACTCATCACTAACTAACTCTCAAGACATCCTTATGTAAAAACATCCCAGACACACAGCGCAGACCAGACCCACAGCGCAGACCAGACCCTCAGTGTCCCATTCCATCAGGCTGGCACATGTTTAAAAAAGAGCTAAGTCATGCTTTGAAAGAAGTAACACTGCTGCTAAAATGCATATTTATTGGCTTAACTTTATAAAGTGCAGAAGAAAAATCATTGAACCATTCCTCTCTCATTCAGCACCTGTCATTAAAAATTAAGACAGTGTAAAACTCTAATTTTTGCCAAGACACAGTATGTGCTACAAAGACCTCCCATCAGAGAGGTGTACACAAGGTATCATTCAACTTTTACAGAAGAAATCTTACTGCTCAGGGTACATGCTGCCTTTCACTCAACAATAAAAACAACAATGGGAAGTAGCTATCATTTACTTAGCTCTTAGGTGTGTCATGAAGTATGACAGATGCCCAACATGCACTCACTCCTTGTGGAAACATGCTGTGCGAGACACCTTTATGCTTGTTTTATTGTCCAGGGTCCCTCCCCTTATTTCTGACAGTCGTGAACACACTTCCAAAGACAGAGGTGGGAGACTTCCGCCAACATGGAGGCATAGGTACAAACACTATGCCTTCTCACACAACCAAGTCTAAAAATAACAAAATTTTAGCAACAAAAAACGCAGCCAAACCACAGAAAACTGAACTAAACCGAAGTCCAACAACAACGAACCACTCAGCTAGACTGGTAAGAGGGGCGGAGCCAGCAGCAGAGCCCAGCAGGCAAAAAAGATCCCCTGACCCAGGTGCGCAGGCAGCCAAGGGTGGATCCCAGGTGTGGGGTAGCGACAGGCGGACCCAGGTAAGGTGTGGGGCGGCTGGCTGACCACAGTCACACATTCAGGTGTGCAGGTAAATGAGCGAAGGAGCGAGCAGTGAGACAGACCAGGCAGGCCCCAGCGGCAAGCAGCAGCAGAGGGGACCGCCATTGCCCCTCTTTGACCTCGCCCCCACATATAGTCACAAACCAGAGACCTGGGTGGCTTCTCTCTGACCACACCCCCACATACAACGTCACAAACCAGAGACCTGGGTGGCCCTATCCCAATGAACAACTAATGTTCCTCTCCTCATACGTAACAGGCGCGAACAGACCAAACATGGCTCAAGAAGAACTCAAACCCCTGGAGCCGGAGCCAGTAACTCTAAGCGACCAAGAAATTGCCAACCTATCAGATGCACAGTTCAAAACACTGGTGATCAGGATGCTCACAGAACTGGTTGATTTTACTCACAAATTAGAGGATCATATGAAGGCTAAACTAATTGAAATGAAGGGAAATGCACAGGAAACCAATAGTGATGGAAAGGAAACTGGGATTCACATCAAGGGAGTAGACCAGAAGGAAGAAAAAAATGACCAAACAGAAAAATGTGAAGAAATAAGAATTCAAAAAAATGAGAGGCTAAGGAACCTCCAGGACATCTTTAAACACTCCAACATCCGAATTATAGGGGTACCAGAAGGGGAAGAGGAATGGCCACAAGGGGAACACTTATTTGAACAAATAATAAAGGAGAACTTCCCCAATCTGGCAAATGAATAGACTTCCAGGAAATCCAGGAAGCACAGAGAGTCCCAGAGAAGTTGGACTCAAGAAGGAGCACACCAAGGCACACCTTACAGGCAAGAAGGGGCTGGAAAGAAGTATTCCAAGTCATGAAGTCCAAAGACCTACATCCAAGATTGCTCTATCCAGCAAAACTTTCATTTAGAATGGAAGGGCAGATAAAGTGCTTCTCAGATAAGATCAAATTCAAGGAGTTCATCATCACCAAGCCCTTATTATATGAAATGTTAAAAGGACTTATCTAAGAAAAAGAAGATAAAAAAGATGAACAGTGAAAGGACAGCAAACTCACAGTTATTAACAACCACACCTAAAACAAAAGCAAATTAAAAGGACAGCTAGATCAGGAGCAGAACCATAGAAATGAAGATCAAATGGAGGGTTAGCAACAGGGGAGTGGGAGAAGGAGAAGGGGGGAGAAGGTACAGAGAATAAGTAGCATAGACGGTAGATAGAAAATAGGGGGGAGGGCAAGAATAGTAGGGAAAACATAGAATCTAAAGAACTTGAGACACGTGGTCATAAACTAAAGGGGGGGATGGTGGAGGAGTGGTGTGTAGGGTGGAGGAGAATGAAGGGGGGAAATGGGACAACTGTAATGGCATAGTCAAAATATATTTAAAAAAAACAAATACAGAGGTGGATTTTATATGTTTATGGGGAGTCTGTCTCCTCCCCAGAGTAATTAGCCCTCTTCCAAGTCTCACATTCTCTCCCCAAAATTTCAGCTTGATTTGAAGAGCATTTTCTATGGAAACCTAATTCTCACTTTGTTATGTATCAATGGGAACTTATCTTCTACTTGGGTGAGTTTTTACAGTAGATAGTGTGTAGAACATATGTTGAAACACATTTTTTAAATTTTCTGTTTTTCACACAGTTATTTAGTTTTTGTATTCATAAAATGGAGGAAGATATGACTCTTTTACTGCTTTTTAGTTTTATTTAAGATGCTATTTTTAAAGTAGGAAAGAATCATTAATAAAGGTTTAGCTGGTAAGGCTAAAAATGGTAATATTTGCGGGGTTTTTTTTTAACCCATTGCAATGTAGCTTGTTATTTTATCCCTGTAATAGAATTAGTTTAAAATTGTCATTGGCTGTTTTTTCCCTCCTCTGCTGATCTCTCTAAAATCCTCGTTGTGCTGGACGTTACCTGATGCTGCTGCCCTCTGACTTCCATAATGTCATCCTTTCATGGTATTTCATACCTTTCTCAGACGAGATCGGGCACATTCAGGGTGGTATGGCTGTAGACTATTTCATACCTTTCTCAGTGCTCACCTGGCTCTCATGCTGCCTCAGGTCATGTCCTGCTCTGCCCACTCCCCTTTTCTGTCTAAAAACTGTGATACTTCTTACTAGTGTTCTGGTTATGTATTTTCAAATGCCTGCCTTCCCATTCATTTGTCGTATTGTTTCCTCAGACTCAGTAAATCCAAGCTGGAATTGTTTCACTTAACCATCTATTTTATTCAGTTTGGCCACTGGCCCTGAGAGGAGATATTTCGGTATTATCTTTAGTTCTTCCTTTTTAAATAACTTGTAAACAGACTATCACCGCATATTTCTGGCATCCGTACATTTTTCTCCAGTTTTCCTAATGTAATGTTGAGTCTTGTGATTTGGTTTTCAGTAGTATTTAAATAACCTTTATCTCTTCAAATACAGAGGTGGATTTTATATGTTTGATTTTGTCTTTTGAAGCATGAGGGGAAAGTGAATGCCTTGGGCAGGAGCCTTGTCCGTCACTGTTGTCCAGCATGTAGAGGCATTGAATAAATATACGTATACTTTTGAATGAACTGCCCAAGTCTAAAGAAAGAGCTTTGTCAATTCTGAGTTTTGTGAAATGAGAGCCCATTTTGAATGTTAACTTTTTTAAACCTTTTTTAGGAGATAGTACTTCAATTCTTATTTGTCTATATTGTTGAAGAAATTCTATTGGGTCTTTTTACAAAATTGATTTGATGTATAAGAAAGTTTCCCTGTTTATTTTTAGGTTTTGGAAGGAAGGATGTCGTAGAACATTTACTGCAGATGGGCGCTAACGTGCATGCCCGTGATGACGGAGGTCTCATCCCACTTCATAACGCCTGCTCCTTCGGCCATGCTGAGGTTGTGAGTCTGTTACTGTGCCAAGGAGCCGATCCAAATGCCAGGGATAACTGGAACTACACTCCTCTGCATGAAGCTGCTATTAAAGGGAAAATCGATGTATGTATTGGTAAGTGTTATTTGAGGATATCTGAATGAGGGGATCAACCTGACTGTATAAAATCTTAAATACAGGTTACTATTTTCTCTTGTATTTTTATTGTGGTGAAGCAGTGTCCTCTTAGAATAATAACTAGAGATGGTTTTATTACTTCTTATCCTTAGAAGCAATCATTTTTCCATCAAAAGCGAAATAAAGCGATGGTAATCTAAAGTTGGTTAAGAATAAGATTCGTAACAACTCTCCAAATGCAAGTCAAGTGCTAATTGGTGTGGAACTAAATTTTGATAGATTACTGTTATCAAATTTTGTTAATATGCAGTCTCCAAGAGACAGCGGATTTTCTATCCTAGCATCAGTGAGAGCCATTATAAACCAAAAATTCATAACTGAATTGGATGACATATTTGGAAGCTTTAGTTTGATTCAAGGACAGTTATCTAGTACTAGCGCAAAGCCTTTCTCTTGATGTTGCTAAAATTGAACACCAACTATTTTATTAGGACTGGAAAGCTTCGAGTCAGTAGTTCAAATACAGTAGTTCAGAGCTTAATATTTTTATCATGTGCCACAGTCTAGAGGAAAAGCAGTTTCGAACAGAATTGAACTTTTCAACCATTGTAAGTATTGAGATTATATGAAACTGTATTTAATCAGCATTTCTCTCTTTTAGCTCTCTAATATATATAGAGTATAGATTTTGCTTTACTGAATAACATTTTTCATTTTAAAAACCTAAAACAAGCTTCTAGAGGACAAGCATAGTTTCTCTTGCATGTATCATCTACTTCTTCAAACTCAAGATGGTGGGTGTTTGTTTAGCCCACAGCAAGTTGGTTTCCGTAACTGTCTGCCTGGATGATTTAGTTATCTTTATAAAACTCAAATATACTTGTCATTTTCAAAGATAGAATGTTGGTGCCATTAAAATTTTCTTTCTCATAATAGCCATTTTTATAGCCTTTAACATTTCTCAGTTTTTCCCAGATTATTGCAATACTTCACATACAATGTTTTTATCACATTTCTGTCATTATCCTTTGTCACGCTAACATCCATTGGCATGACCATTGGGATGCCCTGTCCTTTTTGATCATTGACATTTTCCATGTCAGTGGATTCTCCCCTTGACCCCTAAGTCTCACTAAAACAGCCATATCTTGGACTAAGTCCTTACATTGCTCTGAAAAGCTTGAAATTAAGGTATTTGTGGTAAGTTACTGTGTAATAACTACAGTGGAACTTGATTTGTATTCTTATCTAATTTTCTAGACTTTCACCTTCCTTACCTTCATCCCTTATTACTTGACCTTGTTATATACGTTGGAGTTTTCTGTCCTTAGTCACAGAATTTTATACAGTTTTCACCTTCTTGCAGTATTCTCCTTTCTATGTTTCAATGTTCTATTTTCTTATCTGTACCTCTCTGGATGTTTCATTCTATTAGTGCTTTTAATATCTTATTGAAATGAATATGCCTCTTCTTTTCCTTCTCCTGATCCCACTTCCAAAGTATATAACACCTATGTTCCTTTCACCCCAGTCCTGTTGAAATAGGGGACGAGAGGTGGGATCCGAATGTCTAAAGGATGGGTTCCCACAGCCCTCTGGTCTGCAGCCCTCAGTAGGCTTTGGCACATACGGCCCTCTTTCTTGTAAGTTCTTATGCCGTGTTGTAAAAGTCGAGGGAAGAAGGGCTCCTTTGAAACATAATCAAAATATAATTGAGGCTATACCTACTATTAAAGCATGTAACACCGTTATCGTGGGAAACAAGAGTGGTTGTAGACCCTTCTGCACACTTAATTAGCTTCCGGGAACCTGTTAATTTTATCCTTAGGTGCACTGAAACCTCTGGTAGCTTATGCATCAGATTTTCTGAATTCGAGTGTAATTAGGAACCCTGAAATGCTTCTGTTAGGCATATTTCCACTTCGGGACAACTGGGTAAAAGAATTGAAAGCCTTGTGCCCTCTACTCCTTTCACTTAAATAATGATTTTGAGAGATTACCATGCAAACTTCATTTTAAAAAGGTTTTCAATTAGATGGGAAAATGCTGGCTTGGTTATTTTTAGATTAATCACATCTCTATACAGAGTACTGAATACATTTAGCATTTATAAAGGTAGAGCCAAGCCGTGTTACCATTGGCAGGGTGGATTGCTGCAAAGCTCGGTGCCCTGGACTCACATCCTGGCCCCACCAACTCCCAGCAGGATGTGAGATCGGGGGCTGCTTCCGTAGCCTCCGTGTTCCATTGCGTGTGAAACGGGACGACCACTCATACTTCACATGCCTCTTGGGAGGGTCAGCATGACGGTAGATGTAAAGGAAAGTACTTAGAGTACCTGGTTTTGTGAACACTAAATAAATACTGATTGTTATTATTACTATTATTATGGCTAAAATCTCAACCTAAAGTATCACTGCTGTGTGATACAGACCTCCTCGTTTCTCCTGTTTCCCCTTTATTGACATTTTTTAAAAATATCAGTTTAAAAATCTAAGAAGCCATGTTACTTTCATAGATGGTATTTAGTTACCATCAAAAAGACCAAAATATAGCCTGAGATTATGTTTTAAAATTACTCTGAATGCTGGAGTTCATTATGGCAAAGTTGATGATGTAATTTTAGATCGAATTTAACAAATCTAACTTATTTTAGAAATCAACATTTCCTGCCTTCAGATTGTATTCATTTCTCCTACTCTGAGATATAATGTCTTTTCTGAAAATATGTCATGATTTTTTGAGACTCTCTGAGTGTTAGTGCTTTCAAATTCCATTTTAAAAGCAAATTGTAGATACATCTGTCACAAAATTACCTGATACAAGATCTGGGAGTTGTAATGGACATGTGTTACTATTTTTTCTTTTTTCTCTTCTTCAATTCGGCTGGTTAGTACCCACCTTGTTCGCTGACTTTGGAGATTGAAATGATGAGCTGTCGTCATGGGGCGACTGCAGAGCCTGCAGACGCAGACCTTCCTTTTTTCTGCCCCTGGCAGTCAGGACAGCCTGCGTTTGGTCAGCCAGACACACCCTTCCATGGTGTGGAAGTTCGAGTACGGAGTCTTAGACATATTAAGGAATCATTCACAGCAGCAGGGTTTTTGTACTGGTGTTGGCAGTGGCCTGCCCATAATGTTCCTGCTAAAATAATGTGCTCCTTTCTACTTGCTCTATAGCTTTTAATTTATTTTCTGAGATTGGTCCTCCACAGGCCTGTCAGTTCTGTTTAGGTAGACACAGCTGGTTTCTGGTATTTCCAAATGCATGTAACTGATGCAGAGATCTCGGAAAGATAACTAAGTGGACTTTCTATTAGGAGACCTTTAAACTAATAAAGAAATCTCTTGAGTCTTTACATAAAAATTCCCACTGCCTTCAGATCGTTTATGTGTAGACCACACTCCTATCTCTCCTTGTACTCCGTGATTCTTTTTTTTTTCTTTTTTTTTCCTTCTTTTTGTGTGTGTGTGATTCTTGAGGGACCAGAGGACAGAGCATATTTTCTTTGGAAATTTCTGGGTTCCTCAGTGGGGAACAGAGAGCTTGCTGGCTTCCACAGCAGACAGTCCCAAAGAATAATCGAGACACTTGGTCTTCTAACACCTGTGGGATTTTCAGTGTTTAGAACACCCCAGCGTCGAGACCTGAAGTCCAGAAGCCCAGTGAAACTCACAGCCTCTGTCAGCCAGAGAGGAAGATTGAGTGGCGTGCAGAATACACACCCAGGACTGCGTAAAGGGGTCAGATAAACACCTGAATGAGAAGGTCAGAATGAAAGTCCCCCGGGGAAACTGACCGTACTATGGAAGAAGCTTCCTGGGGCCAGAAAACATCCAATTGTTTTCTAAAGTAAAAAATTCAATAGGTGAATTAAAGAAAGTACATAATATTAGTAGTCTGGAAAATCATACGGAGAAATATTCCCCAGCACATGTGGTTCTCATATGTTAGCACATGGGAATCGTGAAGGAAAAGGTAAGCAAACCTAAGAAATCTAAACCTAATTTTTTTTATTTTAAAGCCTTACATGTGGATAGGCATTCCAGAAGGAAAAAATAACTGATGGAAGAGATTAATAACAATTAAACAAATGGTAAGCAGAGAAAAATCCAGGTCTTCAGATGGAAAAGGCTAATGGAGTTCTGTGGCATCTCAGTGACGACACACTGTGGGAGGTGTGTGAGTTTTCCCTGTAGAAAGTAAGTTGCCTACTAGAGGGCAAAAAGGAGGTGGAAGACTTTCCATTGCAATTGAGAAAGCTCGAAGACAGTGGAATGCCTTCTAAAAGACTCCTGGAAGAACAGCACTAAACTGTAACTGTCTTGATAGGTTTTCGAGTATAAGAAAGACTGGATAGAGCCAGTGGCGTTATTTCAGGAAAGCGAAGTTTCTGCCACTTGCTTTCTTTCTCTCAGCGTTCAGGTAATTCTGGGTTTCCTTTGTCTTCTATGGAGAGACTAAGGAGATCCTTACTTGGGAGCCCAAAATTCAAACTGCTACTTAAAGTCTAACAATTAGAACTTAAAAAAAAACAGCTTCATTTCCACACTCAATAGTGTTATGTCATACTGCTTAGAATCAAGGAGTCCCAAGTCTTTGAGCAAATTACTTGTTCTCTCTAATTATTATAATGTAGGTTATAACCACTTCATGTAGGTGTTAAGAGGATTAGATGAGAGAATGCAAGTGAAGCACCTTAGTGGGATTTCTGCGTGGACAGTGCTATCGTAAATTCTCAACCTGCCCTGCCTGTCTGGGTTCTCTTTTACTCTGTAGCTCTTATTACCTGGAATTATATATTTGTGTAACTATGGTTCATTATGTATTTGTTTGCTTGTTCTCCATCCTCTGTACTCTTTCCCACTCTGCCTGAGGAGAAACACAGGACCCCTGCCCCCCTGATTTCCAGCGTGTCCCCCATGAAAGGCGCCAACAGGTCTGTTCTGAGTGGGGTGTGTGCGCAGTGCCAAACCTCTCCCCCCCGCCCCCCAAGC